TCCAGGGCGCCAACGGCCTATGGCGCCCTCCTGGGACCCAGCCACACAAGGAGCGAAGGGTAGGGCCATCAAATGAATTCGGGGGGAGACGCAAGACTCGATGCAATAATCAACGCTCACGGTCAAGCATGGATTGGAGGCGGCGGGGAAACTGAACCAGGTACGATAGCACTAATAAGGCTTGGGTTGTGTAGGAGCGGAGGGAGGCATCGGAAGGAGCACGAATACTGGGGATGATGTAGGCTCGCTCGAGCCATTTTTGCTCGGCCGCTCTCCATTGATCGAAGTTTGTGGCTCCTAGGCTCACTTGGACTCCGAGGTAACGAGCGTAACCGGCAACTTTAAGCCCCGACCAATCTGGAATCAGCCGGAGCAGGAGGGATTCTATCTCTAGACGCACGTCCAGAGAAACATCGCACCAGAGTGGCACAAGCACTTTTTTCGCTGTTTGCAATTGAATGCCGCTAGCCGCTTCGCGGCTTCGACAACGGGGCGCACGCTCAGGAAGTGCTCGAATCGCCGCAGCGCGGCCCCGACGTCGCCCTTGCCACTGGCGACGATCTCACAGTGCAAGTGCCGCAATGTGGGGTCCATCGCCATCGCCAGGCATCCTTGGGCGACGCCGCCTGTGGCCCAGAACATCGGCACGCGAAGGTGCCAGATGCGGCTGAAGACCAAACCGTGCTCGCAAAGCATCATGATCGCGTTGATGCACTCATCGGGCAAGAGGAAGCGTCGGAGGACTTTCCACGACAACCGCCGCGCTAGCGACGGGAAGGCCGCTTTTATGTAGAAGCTGATGAAGCAGGGCTTGGCGTCGGTAGCGTCCACCTGGTTCGAGGCGGCGCGCGACTTGACGCTCAACCGTGCAACGCGCTGGATGAACTGGCGTTGCGGGATGAAGCCCTGCTGGATGGCGTGGACTTCGCGTGGCGCCGCGGTCTTCAACCTTAGACTGATCGTGGCGGCAAAGATCTTGCTGCCACTGTTCTTGAGCAGGAGTGGGCGCAGCTCCTGTGGATGTCGAAGTATTTCCACGCGGCCCCTGGGCTGGTCGCGCTTCGGCAACATCAACAGATCGCAGAAGTTGAGACCCGGCGGAACCGGGCATCTGGAAATATGTGCAACGACATGCTGCACAAACACTCGACGAAAGTCTCGTCGGCCTGCCGCGCCGAGTACGTCAGTCGATCCGGGCCAAGTGCAGTATCTGGTGCAGGCGAAAGCGCCCGCCACGTGTAGGACATGGATAGGATGTCGATGTCGGGCGCGGCGCGTGCGGGCATGTGCTGATCCAGATAACGATCGATGACGTCCTCGTCCTCGTCGACGCTGCAGTGGCTTGCTTGGTGTCCTCTGGTCGCCGAGCGAGGCGAGCCTCGTCAGGATGGCGATGCACAACTGTCGCCGGCGACCTTCGCGGCCCCCCAGGCAGCGCCAGAAGGTCACCGGGGCAGCGCGGATCTTGCCGGAGGCCGCCAGGTTGAGCCATGCGAACTCCTGCCGGTACAGGCCGTCGTCGGTGCGGAGCCCACAGCGCGGCGCGTCGCTGGGCCGCGCGAGCGGTCGTCCTGGCCGAGCTTGCAGACAGACGCTGTTCTCCGCCCCCATGCTGCTGATGGCACCGTATGCGCGCGGCCGCTTGCGCCTGCTGGCGTTCGGCCCATGCGACGTTCAGCACGCCAGTGTAGCGTTCGAATTCCTGCTGGTCTGAGAGCGCCACCGTCGGCGTGAACTCATCGGCGGTCTCGCTGAGAACAAATCATTTTAGCCCGAGCTGCGTCGTGGCCGCCAGCGCGGAGGCCAGGCGAAGGTCCTGTAGCCGCACTTGTCGTACAATCGATCTCATAGCGAGGCGGCGCGCGTCCCCCGCGCCTTCGGAAGAGTCCCTGATCGGCAACTGGATGAGCTCCTTCCTCGTCTCCTGAGCGGCATTCGCCATGATATCATTGCGCTCGCGCGGCGCTCAGGTACTCACACGAGGTCTGCTGAACCTGCTGCTCAACGTGATGATTGAATCGCGGGTGCTTGGATATGAATGCTGGTATGTGTTGGTCTCTCTGCTGCATTGTGCACTTCACTTGCAACTTGAGCTCGATAATGGCATGGTCACTCAAATGCCAGTCGCTCAAGTGCTCGGCCTCTTGCAATACAGTGACCGCGCGCGCGGTCTCCTGGATGTAATGCGGCGGTTCGGACGCGAAGATGCGGTGGCCAGTCGATGACGCTGCAGGACCGATGATGCTTCGAATCGTGCATGGGCAAGTTTTTTTCCATCTCAAGCATGCCGCTGTCGTATAACAAGCGGCGCCAAAACGGCTGCCCATGCTGGGCTCGGCTCGCCTCGCCTCGCCTCGCGGCAACCCTGCAGGATGCGTGAGTGAACGAGCCGGCCTGTCAGATATGTTGAAGTCCTGGGCCGCGATGAACAACCTGCCCTACTCGTCGTCCTTCGCCCACCGCTGCGATGCCAACCAAGCCCGATGCGCCCGCTGCTTGTCGGCTTGCCCCAGGCTGCGGTTATGAACATTGAGGATGGACCTTCTGCCGAAAGACTGGATCAACGATGCTGACGAGTGAGATGCGACCGTCGGCTACGACTTCATGAAGGACTTGGGGCTGCTGGCCAGCTGGCATCACTGCGAGTGCTGCGTCTGCGTGCCAAGGGATCAAAACCGCCTCGCCGCCGCTGCCGCAGTGGTCGCCAGGATTGAAGGCGAAAGTGTACTCAGTCGGTCGGATAGTGATGCAAAATGGCCCGCAGTGTCTCTGCGCACCCATGGCACTGTTGCAGTAGTATGAGCGCCCTCTGATTCATAAAACGCTGCAGCCTTTGAAACTTATGACGCCGCTTGCGGCTGTTCAGACACATGAGGCCGCGGCAGTTCCACGTGATGACCTGTAGCGAGGAGGTCTCATGCTCGCTGCATGCCGCCGGCCACCCGCCGGCGGAGCCGCCCTCGCCTCACTCCCGCCGCCCTCCGCCGCCCTCCGCCGCGGAGGAGGCGGCACCCCCTCCGATCCTCGAGGGCACGGCCCGCCTCGGAGTGCCTCGCGCGGTGCTCCCCCTGGGCGCTCCGCCCCCCGTTGCAGCCGCCGGCTCTCCTCCTCCCCTCCCTGCCTGCTCCTGGCGGGCCGCGAGTCTGGCCCAGGCGGGCGCTCTGCAGGCCTCCTCCGATCATCACCAGCCCCCGGGCAGCAGCCGCTTCCTGGCGGCCTGCCCCCTGGCATCGGCCGTCCCCAGGCAGACGAGGACCGACCTTCCGTTCCCCACTGCTCCCATTCCTGCTCCCTTTCGTTCCCCTTACTCTCCTCCCTCTCCTAGTCCTCTTTCTCCTCCTCCTCCTCCTCCTCCTCCTCCTCCTCCTCCTCCTCCCCCTCCTCCTCCTCCTCCTCATCCTCCTCCTCCTCCTCCTCCTCCTCCTCTGAATGCTCATCGGCACGGTTTCTGCCTGTCTGATTGCCTCCAGGCTTTCGGCTTGAACGAAGGGGGGGCACAGAACCTCGGCAGCAAGCGTCGTGTCAAGCAGCAGGCAAACGACCTAGAGGATAAAGACGTTTTTTTTGTTCCACATAGGGTGGGCCCTGTCGTTGGCTCCTGGCAGGATTTGGCCCCCTGCCAGGGTGTTAGAAAAGGTCCTCTCCGATGGCCCCCCCCCGGGGGCAATTTGGACTCGTCGGAACCTGTCTCTCTTTCTCCTCGGTGGCGTGCGATCCTCCTCCTGCTCCTCCTCCTCCTCCTCCTCCTCCTCCTCCTCCTCCTCTTCCTTCTCCTCCGCCTGATGCGGAGAAGCTCCCTCCCTCCTAATCTGGAGAAGCTCCCCTCCTCCTCCTCCTCGTTTTTCTCCTTCTCCTCCTCCTTCTCATCTTCCTCCTCCGCCTCCACATCCGCCTCCACCTCCGCCTCCTCGTGCTCCATCCCTCTTCCTTAGAGATAACACCTCCCTGTCGCACCCCGAACAGTGTCGGCAGGGCGGGTCGGGCGGGTCCCCTTAGACTTCCTCACCATAACCATTTCACGGAACGGGGACGGGCCGTTGCCAAGATGTCGGCCTCGCCGTCGCAGCGCGCACATCCGTGTAAAGCATTCCAGCAGGTTCACGGGTGGAGGGTGGGCGGTGTTCAAACTGTGGGTCCCACCTCATCGCCGCGCACATTCGCCTCATCAGGTGGAACAGCTTCACGGACCGAGGGGGGGAGGCTTTAAACATGGGCTCCCGATTAGCGCCGCGCACATTCGTCTTCAGAGTTCGCAATAGTTTCGCTGATGAAGGCGGCTCCGTTTCAAAATGTGGCTCTCGCCTTCGCGCCGCGCGAATTCGTCATACGTGTTTACAACAGTTTCAATGCTGGGACGGCTTTCTGGCACGATTCCGGACCGTCAGGACGCAAGAGTGACGTTTCTTCGCGGCGCTGAAGTCACAAGAATGATGTTTTGGCACGGATAAGGATCTTCAAACGGTTGTCTTCCGATAGGGTGCACTTCCCTCAGTGAAAACGAACCCCTGTATGGGACCTATGGAGAGGGAGAGCTTGGAGGGAAGGTTGATTGCAACATTGTTGAGGCGCCTTGGGTTTCCACTGGTCCTCCTCCTCCTCCTCCTCCTCCTCCTCCTCCTCCTCCTCCTCCTCCTCCTCCTCTTTTTTCAAGTTGCGCAGAGATGGATCGGAGATCGTTGCGTTACCCGTAACGTGCAAGACAAACATCTCCGACTTGGCCGAAGAGGCTAGCAAATTAAGCAGGTGGCGGGGGCTGCGGGCAAAGACAAGCAAACAAGAAGGGCAGCAGAAGAGCCCCAAAACGGCGCAGAGCAAGCGCCCGCCACCTGCACTGGAGGAGGTACCTGAGGAGCACTAGAATGACGACGAGATAGGAGGTAACCTCCTCCTCCTCCTCCTCCTCCTCCTCCTCCTCCTCCTCCTCCTCCTCCTCCTCCTCCTCCTCCCCCATCAGTCACGCGGGCCGCTGGCCAGCGGCGTCGCGGCGGGGGGCGAGGGTCCCATCGGTCTGCTGCTCGCGCGGCGGGGCGACGGGCGGGTCAGCGACTTTCCTGGGACGGGGGAGGGCGGGGAGACCCGGATCGGTGCACGGTACCTTCGGCCCCCTGCGTGTAAGGATAGCCTCACTTCTCCCAACTCCATCCTCCCCAACCCGACGACCTGGGGGGGGGGGGCAGGGGAGGAGGAAGGCAGAGGGCGGAGGTGAAGGGAGGGGAGGAGGGCGGGAGGGGGAGAGCGGAAGGGGGAGTGAGAGGGAGGAGGAGAGGAAGAAGAGGGGTTTGGGAGGGGAGGAGGGGAGGGTGAGAATGGCAGATGGAGATGTTGCTGCCGTCGCCGTCGGTTCCATCGCCGCCACCAGCTTGCAGGCCCGCGCGTGCGAGACGCATGCGCGTGCCTGCTGGATTAACGTTTGGCTCAAGACGCCTGGCGGCAGCCAGCGTGAGTTGCGCGCGGAGCCTAGAGTCATGCCGTGCGAAATGAAGAAAGGACGGTCACAATTCACATCGACATCCCGCATCTGAACGCCTTTGATGAACTGTTATCCAGTGCCTACGGTGTACCCACGGCTGAAGTGACGGCGAAGCCCTACCGTCGAGGCCTTACTTAACGAAGCCGAAAGAAACAGCTGCAGCCAAGTTCAGCTGGGGGTGCTGCTCCAGATGACACCGCCCTTCTTTGATGGGCCTGTTTTCCACCACCACAACCACTACCACCACCACCACCACCACCACCACCACCACCACCACCACCACCACCACCACCACCACCACCACCACCACCACCACCATATATAACTTGGAGGGAGAGGGGGTCCTCCTTCTCCTCGTCCTCCTCCTCCTCCTCCTTACCCTCCTCCTCCTCCTTCTCCTCCTCTTCTTCGTCCTCATCCTCCTCGTCCTCCTCCTCCTTCCCGCCTCCAACTTCTGGTGGTGGTGGTGGTGGAAAACACGCCCCTTCTTCCTCATGCCTCGCAACACTTGGACTGGAGAGGTCGACGAGCTGAGGACGGCGCTTAAAATTCCCTGCCCGGAGCGGCGGACCTGGGTGCGAGCCCCGCCCCTGGCAAGAGTCCAGTCGTTCTGCTGCTCGTGCAGCACGTCGGCGGGGAGAAGCGAGGCGGCCTTCCTGGGGACAGGCGGAGCGAACCCTTGCTTGTCGTCGGAGAGGGAGGCGAGGTGGGGGGAGGAGACCGAGGAGGTGTGGCGGAGGGGAAGGAGGAGGACGAGGAGGAGGACGAGGAGGAGGAGGACGAGGAGGAGGATGAGGACGAGGAGGAGGAGGAGGAGGAGGAGGAGGAGGAGGAGGAAGAGTAAGACGCCGACGACTACGACGACAAGGCCACGTGGGTGGAAAAGGACAAGGACGAGGACGCGGACAGAGGGGGGGATGGGGGGGATGGAGAGGGACCCATGAGCTAGTTAGGAGGACGGAGGGAGGAGGGAGGAAGACAAGAGGAGGGAAGATAAAGGATGGAGAAAGGACGAGGACGGAGTGGAGAGAAATGATGAAGGAGGGAGGAGGGAGAAGGCATGACGGAGGACGGAGGAGGGAGGACGGAGGAAGGGCGGAGGATAGGGCGTGCAGAAGAGAGCAGGGAGCAGGGAGGGGAAAGGGATGCGACACTTGCGAAAGGAGGAGGAAGGCATGGAGCAAGGCGCGAAAGATGGGAAAAGACAGGATGGATAGACATGAAAGATCGAGTCCTTGGAAACGGGCTCCTCTTCTGGCTGCTGCACCTCCTTCTCATCCTCCCTCCTCCTCCTCGTCCTGCTGCCCACCTCATCAGCATCAGCATCACCATCACCACCAGCAGCAGCATCATCATCATCGCCATCACCATCATTACATCATCAGATTCACCATCATCGGCATCATCAGTATCATCATCGTCAACATCATCATCAGCACCATAATCATCATCAGCATTATCATCATCGTCATCAGAAAAATATCGTCACCACCAGCATCAGCATCAGCATCAGCATCGGCATCATAATCGTCGTCATAATCATCATCATCACCACCATCAGCATCATCATCAACATCGTCAAATTCAACATCACCCCGCGTCCTCCTCCTCGTCCTCCTCCCGCTCCTCCTCCTCCTCCTCCTCCTCCTCCTCCTCCTCCTCCTCGTCCACCTCCTTCTCCTCCTGCCTGTGCGGAGGCAGGCCAATCCAGCATCCAGCATCCAGCATCCTCCCCCTCCTCCTGTATCCTCCTCCTCCTCCAACTGTATCCTCCTGTATCCTTCTGTATCCTCCTCCTCCTCCTCCTCCTCCTCATCCTCATCCAACTGTATCCTCCTGTATCCTTCTGTATCCTTCTCCTCCTCCTCCTCCTCCTCCTCCTCCTCCTCCTCCTCCCTGCCCGGAAGAGGTGAGAGGGATGAGGACAAGCAGGGGAAAGGGAGGAGGGAAGCTCGCTCGCTCGTTCAGCGTCGGCACGGGGATGACCCGCGCGCGTCGAGGAGGGAGGCATAGAGTCGGGGCGTTGACCTAAGGAACCCTAAATGAGGAACGAGGCCCCTTTTTTCCATAAATTAAACTTCGATTTCCCATCGAGACCATGAGGAAAACCCGAGGCAAGCCGTGTAGCAATCACGGAACACCGAGCCCCTCCCCAACGAAAAGGGTTCCTTCTTCAGCGCCCCGACTGTAGAGGAGGGATCAAGCTCTGGATCCCTCCTGGACTTGGGCACATTACGACCAGACGTCGGAGGCAGATCCAGCCGTGGCGATGAGGGGGCAAACGGGAAGGAGGGAGCAGCACGAGGGAGGCGAAGGAGGGGGGAGGAAGGGCAGATTGTCCTGGATCGGGCTGAACACGGTCGGCGGACTCCAAAACACAAGAGTCTGTGTCAGGCCAAGAGTCCGCGTCAGGCCCGTGACTGAACGACCTCTCGCCAGCGCCTCGACACGGGGCAAGTCAAATGCCAACAGCACGACCTCCTTCGACGCAAGTCTGGGGTCGCGTCCCCCTCTGGCACAGGACGGGCCACAGTGCCTGGGGCAGCCTCAAAAAAACAAATCGCCTGGCGCATGAGCTCCCACTCTGCACTACGCCAGAGTCTTGGGTGGCTAGATGACCAGACCGCGGGCTGTCGCACGATGGCGGGGGTGTTTTGCATTATGTGTCCGGAGTTGCTGGGACCTCATTATTTGTCCGAAGCTGCCTTATCACAGAACCTGCACCGAAGTCGTCACAATAGTCGCCACATCTGAGGCAGGACGTTAGCCGCAGCTGAAGAGAATCGCATTAGCAGCTCGGACCCGAGAGGTATCAGTCTGATCATATAGACCCCCACAGAGGATCTGATGCACATGTGCTCGAAGTGTGCGAGATGTGTCTATCCAGCGCGTCTTGGTTTATGATTGGCGGTGCATGGTCTCTGCGCGTGTCAGCATGCATGCAACGCTTGTCTGGTTTGTACGTGTGGCCTGCCCGCTTGACATTTGTGTAGACTGATTGCACACGCTCTCCGTGCCGGCTCTTATGCTACTCTCTATCGCACGTTGGGGTTGTTAGGCTCTGAAGGAAAAGCTCCCGACCCGATCGCCCGCCCCGCATGCCACGGCCACCTCGCCACAATATGCCACGACGGTCCCTGGTGTCTCGACCAGCGTCCTCGACACATGACGGCAGAACCGATTCTGCACGCCGCGACCGCCAAGCCACACCATTCCCCTTATGGCCCCTTGCGTCTTCGACACATGACGACAGAAACCGATTCCGCATGCCGCGGACACCAGGCCCCAATATTCCGCGATGGCTGCTGCCCAGTATCCTCATCATCCTCCCCATTTCCCCTACTCACCAGTCCACTCATACTCCTCACGGCCTCCCTCATTCTCATCCTGCTCATTCCCCTTCGCTCCTTTGCGTCGGCGCTACTTCTGCTTCCGACTGCGCAGCGCATGCGGACAAACGCCAGGCAACAAGAGGACGGAGGACGGAGGACGCTACAGGCGTTTTCCAACTCCATCTTATAACCTGGACCGTTCAGGGAGATCCATATCCATACAAGTTGTATGATCGCACATCGCGGCCGTCACGTTTCATTCGCAACCATCGCCGTCACCTTTGCTATCATCATCGTCACGTCCACGCTACTGTTGTCCGAAGCCATGGTGGCTCAATCTTGGTTTCCACGATCCGATACTGGACACCGCAGGCACATCAATGAGCGGGGTGGAAGCACGGCCTGGCCTGGCGGCGTTAATCGGTACAGGCATTACACATTGCCGGGGTCAAGCACCTGTCGGTACGTCAGATAATGCACTTCGCCATCGCACTATTTCCCAGGCGCCGCCCATGTCAGACGCAGGCACCTCAAACACGTCACAATATGATAGGGCGTGGGCGTCGCCTCGCCGCCACGTTCATTCCGCACTGACTGTAGGCATTGTTACCTGCGCAGGCACCATCAGCGGTCAGGCGCAGGCACCTCTCGTGCGACAGTGAATGCGGTGCAAGCCTCGCATCGTCCTGGCCGTGTTGGCGCAGGCACCGGGGGCATCGTCTTTTCACAGTGCAAAGAAGAATGGGGAGTGGGCGCGGGGGGTTGCGCGCCTTGCCTTCTAGCTTTGTGCCAATGGCACTGCCCCAAGAGGGCGCAGTGCAGGAGCTCGCGGGCTCGAAGGGGGGAGCGGCTGAACCACCGCGCGGGCCTCGAGAGCTGGAGCGAGCGACGCGCAGCCGTGGCGGCGGAGATCCACGCGCGCGCCCCGTGCGCGGAAACGGATGGAATCTTTACCTGGTCCATTGCACGCGATCGACAAGAAAAGAAAACTGCGGCCCAGAATGTCAATGTCAAACACGAGCGCGCCTGTAGGATAGAGGAGGACGGACCAAAGAAGAAGGAATAGGAAGAGAACGAAAATAGAGGATGGACAAGGAAACGGGAATTGGACCTCGTGAATTTGAAGGCTGGCACATGCCATGCGACATCGCACTGACTCCAGAGGTCTCCCTGCGTGCCAGAACCACCCGAGAGGCTCCCGAGTGCTTGGCCTAACCCTCGACGGAGTCCGCGCCCCCCTCCCCCCTCTCCGTCGGAGAAACCAACAGATGCTGTTACAGCTGCTCCCCAGCCCCCAGCCCTCTCGCGGAGTGCGCTCTGACTAGCACTTCTGGGGGAGAACCCAGCCGTGGCGACGAGGGCCCCCCACGATGAGCAGCGGTGTTGGTATCTGCTCCTCCTCTGCATCCTCCTCCTCCCCCTCTCCTCTCGTTGGCGTGCCTCCGGCCGCGCCCGTGGCGCCAACAAGAGGCGCCTCCACGGGCGTGCCCGCGCGCAGCGGCGGCACGGAATGGCACCGGACCGGGACCAGGCTCTCTCTATCTTCTCCTCCTCCTCCTCCTCCTCCTCCTCGTTCTCCTCCTCATCCTTCTCCTCCTCCTCCTCCTCCTTCTCTTCCTCCTCCTCCTCCTCCTCTCCTCGTTCTCCTTCTCCTTCTCCTCCTCCTCCTCCTTCTCCTCCTCCACCTCCTCGTTCTCCTCCTCCTCCTCCGCCTCCTCCTCCTCGTTCTCCTCCTCCTCCTCCTCCTCCTTCTCCTCCTTCTCCTCCTTTACCCTTATTCCACTATCAAAAAAACCTCCCAGTCGCACCAGGAGACGTGCCGGCCGGTAGGGTGGGCCGGGCGTTTCGCCTGAGACTTTCTCACCATTTACCATCCTGAAGCTTACAATCTGCAAGAGATGAGTGGATGGAGGGCAGGCCGTTTTCAAAATGTGGCTCTCGCCTGAGCGCCGCGCACCTTCGTCTTAGAAGAGTGCAAGAGCTTCAGGAATGGAGGGTGGGCGGTTTCCAGAATATGCCTCTCGCCTTAGCGCCGCGCACACCAATCTTCAAGTCTGCAAGAGCTTCATGGATGGAGGGCGGCTCCTTTTCAAAATGTGGCTCTCGCCTAAGCGCCGCGCACATTCGTCTTCAAAGCTCACATCCGTTTCGAGGAATATTGTTGCTGACGTTCGAGAACTTTTGTCTTGGCACGATGAAATTGTCAGGGCGCGACAGTCCCGTTGATGCGCGGTGTTGCACTCCCAGGGATGGCGTTCTGGTGCGATTCGGGATCGTCAAGCCGCAACAGTAACGTTGAGTCGTGGCGCTGAAGCCGCAGGAAT